TTATTGTAAAATTTCATTAACATCCATTCAGTAGTATTTGCGTTAAAAAGTAACAAACATTCATCCATACATACAAACTTTCGCCTTTATAATATTAGTAAGGATATAGAAACCGTTCAACCTCTCTTGATAGTTACTATAAAGTAGGTACGTAAGCATAGAACAAGTTGTTTAACATTCTTGACATTTAAGGGGTTAAGAATAAATTGCGTATTAATAATATACAAGGTGAATGTATATGTGTGTAGGAATGTATTGTCGTTGCAATTCCAAAAGAGTGCATGGAAATCGCTACGTAGCTACATAATACGCATGTTAAGATCAAGGAGGTACGAGCATGATTTAATCAAAGATCATTTCGCCACCAAACATCTGATTTCGTTGGGGCACATGCTGATCGAACGTCATCAGGACTGTGCCTGGATGTCGTATCAAAATTCTCGAAAAAGTTTTTAAAACTCATCACAGCAGGTATTTGCACGGTAAGTGCATGGAGCGTTACGCCACGATTTGCATGCATGGAGTACTGACTCGGTGCGTGAACATACCCCCCCCCCCCCCCCCCTCACTTCTACAACTGAGCGTCAGGTCAATCGCTCACGGCTCGCGACACGGACTCCGACACAATCGTATTGTGTCGGAGTCCGTGTCATTTATAATCCCCTTCTAAGGTACTTACGATCTGTTTGCCATCAATGCTTCCACTGATGCTTTTGATTCGTATCCCAAGGTGTGTTTGCGAGCACTCCAGAATTTGCGCCCTCCACAATTGATATTATTATTATTAAATATAATAAGAATTGAATTACGAATGATGCACCTACAATTTGCGTATCCTTTTTTAGCGTTGATTGAATTTGTTACTCGACGAACTGTTGTTCAAGTCAATCTCATTATTCGTCTTGAATATAATTTTTATATTCACTTGCAATGATTCTTTCAACATCTCTTGGAAAAGTAACAATATTAATCTGCTAAATGAGGAAACAAATACTCGTCAAGAAACAAAAACTTTCCTTAAGAATATCAACTTAAATTCCTTCTATTTTCTGTTTTTACGTTTTAGTCACTTACTTTTTAGTCTGTATGAACAATATTGTTCTAAATTACGTTTGTGAGTTACTCAGAGCAGGGATCGACCAGAATATAATTAGATTAGCAAAAATAATAACCCTACAGAGTAGATATGCTTTGTTTAGTGTGTTAGGAATATCTTTTACATTTCCTTTGTAGAGAACAGTTCTGTACATTAAATATTAACAATTTATAATTTTTGATGACTCCGTGGCGTAGTTTCCAAGGTATTGGCTTCGGCATCGGAGGTCGTGGGTTCGATCCCCACACGGGACAACTATTTTTGTGACCTACAGATAGTTGTTTCGCATCTGGGTGTTTGTGAACGTGAAATTTATGTTTGTGAAACGTCCTTACAACACAGGATAATGTTATCCTAAAGTAAAGGCAATTTTTTTTTAAAGAGAAGGAAAAGAAGAAAAAAGAAGCTTCTATATTTAACTGTCTTCAGTTTTCTTGTTAGGGTTCCGTACCCAAAGGGCAAAACGGGACCCTTTTACTAAGACTTCGCTACCTGTCTATCCGTCTGTTACCAGGCTGTATCTCATGAATCGTCATAGTTAGACAGTACAAATTTTCATAGATGATAGTAATAATAATAAGTTATTTCTGTTGCCGCCATAACAACAAATGCTAAAAAACAATAGAAAATAATTAAGCGGGGCTCCCATACAACAGACACGATTTTTGCCGTTTTCACATATAGTGGTGCAGAGCCCTTCGTGCGCGAGTCCGACTCGCACTTGGCCGGTTTTTATTTAACTTACGACGACGTGTTCGCTGTACGAATACATACTCGACGGCTCCCTATTAACGGGACAGCGCGCACCGCATTTTTCCAGCGGACGCGCCAACGAGTACCCTATTCCATTTTAGTAACGTGAACACGATCCACCGACGCGTTCCCCTTCAAGCCGGCAGCTTATCGTTTCTATTATATCCTATGCTATTCTATTATCCGTACAAACAGTTGTCCCACCGCACAGCGGTACATAACCATTCCTCAATTCGCGGCTACTGAATATTTATAAGAGTTCTAACGTTTTTACCTTCATTCTAATATTTTAACTATTACTGAACTTGAATATTAACAACTATTATAACAACAAGCAGAACTATTGGTTATATCACCGTCCGGGAACGTAGCCGAAATCCAAGTGACCGCTGCTTCATGCGACCATGTGTCCCTCTGGCTCGAGTAGATAACGTCATATCGGGTATACAGTGTTGCCAGCGCCAACATATTATAGTAAAGTTGTTTTTTTTTAATATGTGCGAAGGTGGCGAGCGAAATAGGTTAAGTGATAACCGATACCCGTGGACATTTGCAACAACCGTGGTTGCTGATGCGGTACCGTTTTTAATAAAGTGGGCACCGTCTACCTCACTCACCAGGTGAAACGCAGAAGTATAACACTTCAACTTCACACCGGTCATCTGTGAAATCGTGGTACTAACCCGGACGGACCGAAAGTGTGGCGTGGCCCTACTACAGTTTTGGGATTTTGTGCTCTTCATATGGTTTTTAGGTTTTGGTTTTTCGAATTGTAACATTCAGGGACACTGGACTCCAAATCTTCATATATCTGTATCTTAATTTTGGATTTTTAAGCCACTAAGTTAGTAATTATGGATTTTAAGTCGGTATTCAGTATTAGCCTGGCGATTTGTTTACACAAGTGTCAATTCCAAAAAACTTAATATCGTTGTATATAATTTGAGTTTTAAAGAATTGTGTGTGTGGAAGTATGCAAATTTGTCTTATTTGAACATCAGGGTAGAACAGTTCTTGGTAATTCATGGTGAGAAAGCATCACAATACCTTTTTACCCAACTTTCCATTTTCTCGTGCAATTTTCTCTTCTATCTTTCCATTTTACATTAAATCAGACTTAAAGAAACTAAAGGTAAAGTCACAGCTTATATTTCTGTCCCACCGCTGGGCAAAGGCCTCCTCGCGCGAGCGCCCGTACATTGAGCAATGATGACCAAAAATGCCTCTGAGGCTTTTGTTTGTGATTATTCCACTATCACTACATAGTACAAAACAAAGTCGTCCCGCTGTCTGTCTGTGTATGCTTAGATCTTTAAAACTACGCAGCAGATCTTGATGAGGTTTTTTTTTACTAGATAGAGTGATTCAAGAGGAAGGTTTGTACAAATATGTACAATACATTGCACCTGTGCGAAGCCGGGACGGGTCGCTAGTATACTATTATAAAAATGTACTGATCGTTGTCTGTATATGGGTATCTGTTTCGGAAAAAAATATTATTTAGAGCCTTTATCGACCCAATAGAACCCAAAACAATTATTTTTAAAATTTTTGTCTGTGCGTTTGTGCGCGCTCATCTCAGAAACGGCTTAACCGATTGGGATGCAACTTTAATTTTTTTATTTTCATTGTGCTGTAGTTCACTTAACGCTTCACTTAACATTTAGTCTTAGTTTCATTGAAATCGGTTCATAAAAAAAAAAGTTATCTCAACTTAAAGAAACACATTGAAGATTTCTACGACAAAATGCTATACAATAGCCACAGTTGAGTTGTATGAAACTAGAGTTAACTATATATTATGGTCTGTAAAATGATCATTGATAGTTTATAAAGTTATTGTCTGCGAAAACATGGTGTATACAATTTTTTTGTACTGTTAGAACGACCTTAAACCCAACTTCCTTCGATTCGATTCGCCCCTGGATCTGCTAAACAGGAAATGAGACAGGCTGTGAAAGCGGCGGGCCGAAATTTTAAGCACGATATAAAATGTAGTACATGCATGTGGGCGGAGCCGCGGGCGAAAAGCTATTATAATATATGCTATATTCATGAATATTCCTTCTGTTAATTTTGTTATAAAATATAAATATTATTTGTAATGATTTATTGTTCGTATCGTGCTCAAGAGTCGATATGTGTCTAATCTGAAGATCTGTGGACTGAATTGGTAATTTTTCACTGAGCAATAGTTCCAAGATAACAAACGGGTCGCCTTTGACCCCAAACTTAATTTGAAACATCTGTCTATAAGCGATTATTTCAAACTGCTATTAGTGGTAGATTCTATTCACCGTTCCGCTTCTCCGACTTAGCTCAGGACAGCTGTCGGACGCCCATTGAGCGTCAGTCTCTTGGAAACGGGGAAGTATCGACCGTTACAGTTAACTATTACGTAGAACTCTTCCACGACACTTTGGAAACGCGTAAACAACAATTTGTTTCAGGCATACACTTCTTTGTTGAACATAACGCTTGTAGAAATAAACGTCTTCATGAGATCAATGCGTGCTGTATTTAAACGATACGAGTTCGTCATAAACGGCAAGTGGAACGTTAGAAGGTGAAGTAAACTAAAAATACATTTTGAATATTCACGCGCGTGTCTTCATATGAAATATGTTATTTTAATGTTTTAACTTTATGGCCCATGGATGTAGTTGGTTTTGTCTTTTTTTTTCTTTTTTTTTTTCACTTTTGCGTTTCGTCTCGTTAGTGAGGTGTGATAGGAACCAACCGTTTCTGAAGGTAGACCTTGCATATGCAACCACCAGATGCTGTTAACGTCCCTGGGCGGTTGGCTTTATTAAGCGATTACAACCGCCCTTGCAATCGCTTGCTAAATGTTACTCAATAAAATATACAATGTTAGGACAACTATACCGTTACAAGATTTTCGTATACCGAAAATTACTTTATTCGATTTCGAATAGTACATTACAAATATTTACTCTTTAATACACATAGATCTGCTATATATTACTCTTAAATATGATTCTTAAATAATTATATTAGGCGAGCGGCGGTGGTAGATAAACTATGGAAAGCTTGACAACCCTAAATTGGAAATGTATACTCGTCTCGAATAAAATAACTGGTAACATTTAAATTAAGTAAGCCCTTAATAAACTCTCATTTGATATTTCAGGAGTCTATGAAAACCTTTCATCTGCTGCTGAACGAGACTTCGCGACGTCTGCAAGCGTTGACCAAACGTCTCGGCACCTGCGTGGACAGGTCCAGGCCGTACCACGAGGCTGTGGCGGCTGCTGCCACCGCCAGGGGAGAGTGCCAACGGGCAGCGGTGCAGTTCCAAAGAGCGAGCGGTGAGAACACGTTATTTCTTTATCTGTCCAATGATACATTAATAGGTGTAGATATTTTATCAAAGATGTTTTATGTCAGATCGCCGTAACTTAACCATAATTCATCATTAAAAAAATTAAATATTTAGCACACAATTTTACACAACGTTCCTTCTCTAGTCCCAAACTAGGAAATGTACTATGGATACTAGATAACTGATAAACATACTTAAACATGCTTTTCTTTTGTAAATAAATGCATATATAAACTTCCAGACACTAGAAAAACATTGGGTTCAACACACAATATTTTTCAAGTCGTGGGGATCGAACCGACACCCTCTGGCGAAGGAGGCTGTACACTACCCACTACGCCATTCGGATCGTCATAGAAATTTCATTATTCGCCATTTTCAAGTTAACGTTTGTCGCTATAGACAAAAAATAGAATAAAGTTGTTTATATAAAAAAAACCCATCTAAAATTTTTTTATAAAAATATCCTTGTAATTAGTATACATATTATTTAGCTATACATCACCCTGTCTTGTCGGATAGTGTTATAACAGTAGTTTTCAATTACAATCATTGGCTATGTGAAGATTTCTAGATAAAAAGGTCCATCGAAATACTGTTAACCACTTAGCAAGTTTACCGTTTTGCTCTATTTCAGTAGATGCCCTCAATACGAGGTTAAACTAATAGAAAACCATTTAATCGTCTTCGCCTTTGTTTTACGACGATTTCGCTTACGGCTTTAATAGAGTATAACTCCATCGAATACAGAATCCATGTCATTGAGTCGTGATCGAACGCGACATGATTGACGACTGCTCAATTAATTTTATTATTAATTATTATGCTCAATTAACTTATTATTAATGGAGATGATGTGATTGTCGTAGAATTCTTTTTGTTAATGGCAAAACCGTTTATATATGAGGATTTTTAATTTTTAATAGAAGGCTTTCTTCTGAACTCATCATCGGATAGAATAATACATAATTTCCCATTCCGCACATGGTTTTGCATCACTGATTAATTTTTATCTACGCGAAAAGGTGCGCGCGAAAAAAATTCCCAAACCGATACAGGGAAAATCAGTGATAATCAGATACAATACACATTAATCGGCAATCGGTCTTGCGTAATTCCGTTTTCTGTACGGCGGCATTCAATTTAATACGGGCACTTGTGATTACGGCGTGTAGCCGCTGCGTTCGTTATTAAGGGAGATTTTAAATTGGCCGTTTCCTTTCAGCCACTTCCGCAACTCTGCACTTGACCTGAGCGTCAGGTCCTTGGCATTCAATAATATAAAATAATAAAGTAATAGGCGATGAATAAATTAAAAAAAATAATGCATTGTTTGTCCTACTGTTGGGCAAAGGCAACCTTTGTACAGAGGTTATTAGCGCTTAGCCAGTGCGGCCCCACTGCGGAATGGCGGACTATACACGTTCGATTTTTCTTTTGTTATTTAGTATTATTTAAAGTATGCACGTTTCTCCACTATGTTTTCCTTCACCGCTGAGCACGTGATAAGTCAGCACTTGAACTAACGTTTCGTTGGTGCCGGCACCAAGATTTGAATTCAGGTTGTTCGAGTATATGGAATTAAAAGCGCCCGGACACAGAGCTATCACGGCTTATGGCGATGACTAAAGTCCATATAACATGTATACTCCGTTGCTTTTGCTCAGTGCTTGCGTGTAATGGACACGCGGCGGAGTCTATTAACCTTTGTCGGTGTGGTGCAATAGTGACAGCTCAAGCCCAGTGGCTTATACCAATATTGCTAACGTATTGACAAGCCAATGTCCCTCACTTTCCCTCACTTACGGTCGCTGTACGACGTCTAAACCGCAATCTGTCTCGTTTTAATCTTATTATGTGCGATGAAATAGATAGCATTAGCTGTCTCTCTCTCACATTTGTGTGAAATGCGGAGAATTCAAAACCAAATCAATTGCAATGAACAACATATTTTTACTTGCAATGTGCATATCCTCTGGCAGCTAAAGATGTCACGATTCCATTGCAAAAATTGAATGATGAAACGTTCTTATTATCGTAGCACGAACTTACGGAATGAATACGTCAGTGTAAACGCGCGGGGTTAACTCGACGCTGCGTAGTACTAACGAGTGTCAATTCGCAGCAATTTGCATACAAGCGCGGTAACAGCCCGCGCCTCCGCTCGCTAAATGTAACACACACTCCGCTAAATGTAACACACAACGCGATGTAGTTTCGAACGGCGATCGCAGTATCTGCGTGGAGTGGAGTGTTCAAAATGCTTTATTTATTCATACAATATGAAGGTTCACTCACTCTTTGAACTCAATGAACACGAAAATCCAAGAGTTTAGGTTTTTTTTATGTGAAAAGTTGCCAAGCGAGCAGGCGATTCACCTGATGTTTAGAGAAATTCTTGAACGGGAGAAGTGACACTGTCTGGATAAATTTTAATCTAAACCGCAGAATCGATTACTATCAAATATAATCGTGCCTCAATAGGAAGTACTCATATTTAAAGACTTTTATTATAACTGATGAATGTTGTTTTCAGTCCGTTCAAAATATGAAAGCTTCATCGAGCGCAGAGCTCGTGGTCTAGTGTCAGAACCCGCATCATACATACGGCCCTCCGCATTTGGGTAGGGCCGCTTGTGGTCATTCGTGATTTTTTTTCCTTTATGTGAAAAGTTGCCAAGGGAGCAGACGGTTCACCTGATGTTAAGTGCATACCGCAGCCCACGGACATCTGCTACACCCGAGGGTTGCTGATGCGTTGACAACCTTTTGAGAATTGGGCTCCGGCCACCTCACTCATCAGACGAAACGCGAAAGTATTTATTATACTTCCGCTTCCCGCTGGTGTTCTGTTAGGTCGTGGTACTTATCCGGACGAGCCTGCCCATTCGTGCAAAAGAAAAGCGAGGCTGCTGTGTTTAATTAACAATGAACATCTGTAAATGATAACTTTAATATAACTTATCTATTTAGGTGTTTTGGGGCATGTTTGTATGGAATGACAGGGTGTGTATACACACATAATTACAAAGTTTTTTTACTTGGCATCTTATGTGCAGGTCCTTTAGTTAACAGCATCACAACTACTACGATGATTTCAAAACGCGATGTTAACATTATTATAGTATTAAGTTTCCGCGTAAATGTAATGTTTGTAATGTAAGGTTGCCTGGAAGAAATTGCTAAGTTAGCAATAATTCCTTTTCAATTAATTTTCTTTCTTTGTGTTCCCTTGTGTGCAATAAAGTATATACTATTCTATTCTATTGTTTTTACACTCGTATCTTATTATCGTGTAAGCCTCTGGCAAACTAGTTGTTAAAAAAACGTGAATGATCATTTGTATTGGTAACAGACAACATCATTAGGCACACGTATGTAGTGTTAACACACGGAACCAATAAGTACGCGCCGTCGAGCACGCGACAACATGTCCACTAGCGTTCTAGGGCGGGTTTCAACGTTTACTAAAGTCAAAGGTGTAACGTTTTATTAGTGGGAGTTTAGTTAATGATGGGAAGATTTAATAAAAGATTTATTGGCAGTTAAGATGATGCATTTATCGATATAGATCCACAAAAACTAATTTATCCAATGTCAATTCGAACCGGCGGCAATCTCAAATGACAAGTACCAACAATGAACTTAACTTTTTGATTCGACCTTTCGAAAAGGCAAAGGTTCATAGGACATCCAGCCTAGTCTTTAGAAAAATTACAATTCAGACAAAGTGATGAAATCACACGTTACAAAGGCCATTGGGGTCATCGTCACCGAACCACGATGGCCTGTAACATTCTTCCTGCTTAAAACTTTAACGGTGGTAGGGCCACGCAGCAGCCTGGGCTGTTGCACGAATGGGCATGCTCGTTCTGGTAAACCACGACCTCACTGAAGAGCGGCGTAAAGCGGAAGTATAATACTTTCGCGTTTCGTCTGGTGAGTGAGGTGGCCGGAGCCCAATTTTCAAAAGGTTGTCAACGCATCTGCAACCCTCGGGTGTAGCAGATGTCCATGGGCTGCGGTATTCACTTAACATCAGGTGAACCGTCTGCTCCCTTGGCAACTTTTCACATAAAGGAAAAAAAATCACGAATGACCACAGCGAGGCCCTACCCAAATGCGGAGGGCCGTATGTAGGTGGCGGGTTCGGATAATAGACCACGAGCTCTGCGCTCGATGAAGCTTTCATATTTTGAACGGACTGAAAACAAAATTCACCAGTTATAATAAAAGTCTTTAAATATGAGTACTTTCTATTGAGACACGATTATATTTGATAGTAATCGATTCTGCGGTTTAGATTAAAATTTATCCAGACAGTGTCACTTCTCCCGTTCAAGAATTTCTCTACAAATTTGCATTCCTTTAAAATGTTTTGTTTAATTTTCGAAGCCAACTTTACAAATTATTTTACTAAATGTACTCTTCATAAGTTTATAACGTAAACTTAAGACCTTTTCCACGATACTTAGGTGAGGCCAGGCGCAATAACAGGAAGCCAGTTATCGCCACAGTGCCAGTTATCGTTATCGTCTAAATATATTAACAGCATTTTTTTCATTGCACGCACATTTCTGTCCGCAAATAATGAATTTGATTGTGCCTCGTTTGTTGATTCTGTAGCGTAACTAACAATATCGTTATCAATATGTAAATAGGACGTCGACACTGCGAAAATAAATATACAATATTTATCTGCGTTAATCGTTGAAATTATTGAAACACATTTTACGATGTATCTGTATTCGGTCGGTCAAATTTATATTATTTTATTTTGAAGAGTAGTGGCAGTGGAGGCCGGATGCGCAATTATGGAAAGCAGTATGAACTATTTTATTACAAATTGTGTAGAATAGGATCAGATGTGATGATTTTTTTATCATATAATGTCCCAATGCTTGGTAAATGCCTCTGGCACTGTGAGTGTAACGCGCACGGTCCGCCGCGCGAGAACCCTGCAAATTGGTAGATTTTTCGACGAAACTAATTTTATTCTTTGGAAGATGTAGATTTCTTCGCGATGTTTTTTCTCCAACGCGCCGAGCATGCGGTAAATTATTGCATAAAGTTGCAATTGACAATATAGCTGGAGCTGCCATTCGCGAGAATTGCTACTAGCGTCGTTGCGTGTACCGATTCAAAAGCTCCCGGCAACTAAGCTTTGTATTTATATATATATTCAAAAAACATTGCCCAAGTATAGGATAACATTATCATGGTTGTAAGGACGTTGTAAGGAGGCCTTTCTCCCACAAGGTGGACGGACGACCTAGCCAAGATCGCAGGGACGCGTTGGATGCAGGCCGCTAACGACCGGTCGAAGTGGAAGTCAATGGGGGAAGCCTATGTTCAGCAGTGGACGTCCTACGGCTGATATGATGATGATGATGAAGGACGTTTTACAATCGTAAATTTCACGTGAACAAACATCCAGATACGACTGTTTTTTTTTTATTTAATTTTTTTTTAACATTGCCCCTACTTTCCCTCCGACGCCGAAGCCCTTAACAACTGCGCCAATGAATTATTCATAGATATTAGATGTGTTAAAATCGCAATGCAGAGTCGCACGTGAAAAATCCGAGCAGACGTCGGATAAGGCGCGCGTCGGTTACAAAATCGTGGCGCAATATCGCGACCTTGCGCGGACGGTTGCATTGTATTTGTTCATTCGATTACAATTGTCCCGCGAGAGTATTGTTTTCGAGTGGAATATATGGAGTGGAGTTGCCCAATTCACGCCTTCCAACTTGTGTATGCAAATGCATGCCTGGTACTAACTAGTGATGTGCCGGCTCGTTAAAAATGTATATCCGCGAATGCGAATAACAGACAGTTTGTTTGTGTCGGTTGAAACTCATTGGCTATGACGCAAAAACAGGGAAGTAACTTTCGTGTAAGATTGAATGTAACGGAAAAGAAATACTATATAAATATTTTTAACTCATGTTCCTACGATGTATAATTATGATATAATGATTATTTTTACGTACCCATCTATGACTTCACATTGTACAGGTATTTGTTTTAGTTTGTTATTTAATAACTGTAAACTGTCACTAGAATCATCCACTAACATTAAATTATAGAAAAGCCTTATTGTCAAATGTCTTATTGTCAGTGACATTGTATTTGTATTTTGTGTGGAACGGGTTGTCTAGTCAGTCCCAAAGTCTACTACGACCTAGAAAGATATATTGTAGTCTTCCCTTCGAAAACATTGCCATCGTCTTCAAACGGAATCATTTTCTTTTTGTTTCTTGAAAGTTTGAAACTGGGGCTCGATGGGTAACACCGGAACATTCACAAAAGTAAATAAATATACACATACTATAAATATACACATACAGAGCCGCGGTGAAGCAAAACATCGTGAGGAAACCTGCATATTTTCGAAATCATAACAAAAAAATATATATTTCGAAGATATGTGAAGTCCGCCAATCCGCAGTGGGGCCGCGTGGTGGACTATGCCCTGATACCCTCTGTATAGAGGAGGCCTTTGCCCAGTAGTGGGACACATTGTACAGGCTGTTACTTTACTTTACTTTTATAAGATCACGAAGATCGTGGTATTTTCCCCGAATGCACCGCTCACAGCGGCAGAAGCTGCCACAAACAACAAAATCAGCCGAACCATGCCACAGAGCATTCCATATAATTTTCCAAACGCGTGGCTGACGTCTTTTACCACGCGCAGAGCTGCACGCGGCCGCCAAGGAGACGGTGACCCTAGCGGAACAGCGGTTCGTGAGCAAACAGGACGAGTGGCAGTTCGACAGCAACTGGCAAGAAGTACTAAACCATGCCATCATCAAGGTGAGCCTGATAAACCATGCCACTATCACCAATCGTCCACATTTACGCCGTTAATTAAACTGCCGCCTCAAAAATCCCACCACGTTATTAATTCAATGCACACCCTTAGTCAGCATGTTGTTTCCACGTTATCTTCTATATTTGCTTCATCATCATTCATCATGAGTGTGAATCTTATGATGATCATGAGTCCATTGCTGAACATGGTAGAGGGATTTTTAATTTTAGATTGAAAGTAAGTTATTTTTTTTTAACTAGTTTTTTATTTTTTATTTTAAGGTTATGGACGCGGAGAAAAGGAAGGCCGAGAGCGGGCGTGAGCATCAAAAGAAGGCCGCAGCATACATCGCCGCAGAGAGAAAGGTCAGCTGCCTCAATACTACAAGTAGTCAAAACATGCGTTTAAAAAACTAAAGGTGTATTTACCCACAATAAACCCGACGATACTCGCAAATGCCATACGAATAAAAATTTATTACCTTTCAGGTGACGCAACTGGAGGAGAATCTAAAGAGGAGCATAATAAAATCGCGCCTTTACTTCGAGGAGAAGAAGCTGTGCGACGAGCAGCTGCAGACGCAGAACGGGAAGATCGAGCGGCTGCAGCGCTCGATCGCCGACGCGAAGTACCGCTACTCGAAGTCGCTCAAAGCGCTCGAGGAGATCTCCGAGGAGATCCACAGGCGCCGCGGGGAGTACCCGCCCGGGGGGCAGGTGCCGGTGGGGCCGCGCGAGCCGGGCGTGGGCGCCGAGCGGGACCCCATCCACGAGGAGGCGCCGCCGGACGACAGGGACGAGGAGCCCAGCCTGCAGGAGCTGAGGAAGAGGGTGCGCGAGCTGGCCCTCAAGCCCATCGACCAGGGCGACGCGGACACGGACGGGGCGTGGGCGCAGGAGCTCAACGAGACCATAAACAAGCTCGACCAGCTGCTCATGATGAAGGAGAGCAACCAGCAGAAGCGCTCCAAGTTCACGGCGAGCGCGCCGCGCAACTCCAGCGCGCCGGCGAGCACCGACGCGCGGCACCGCGCCGGCACTTCGCCGGGCGACTCGTGGCCGACCGGCACCAACATGGCGCGGCCCAAATCCGCCAGCCGCGACGCCCTATACGAACAGGGCGCCGCCGCCCCAACGAAGGACCGCTCCAAGAGCATGGTCTCCCTGGACGTGCTCGCCCTCGCGCGGGACGCGACGCTCGCCGACCGCGAGTCGTACCTGAAGGCGGTGATCGAGGACAAGTCCCCCACCGGCACCTACACGGGGAGCAACTCGGAGGCCAACGACAGCCCCGACGACGTCCTGATGGTCGAGTGCGACTCCAGCGACTCGACGAGGCCCGTCATCCGGATGACCGGCTCCACTGTCACGGACAGCGACAACAGTTAAACTGCCCACGCCGTGTAGAACACCTCGTGCCGCAGATCGGCCCAGTGAGCGGTCTATGGAGGGGAGAAATATTCGTGTTGAATGTCAATTTTTGTGTAGCAGTGTGACAGTCTAAATTTCTAGTGGCAATTGTCTTGGAAGTTGTAAATTTGCGGTGAAGCGGTATCCGTCTTGGTGGCGTTTATTTTCTATTGGCGATATGTCACGCACGTTCTAAATAAATGCGTTTAGTTAAACGCCTTTCTTGAATAATGATTTTTGTATGTAATGTTACAAAACGTGACCTTATATGATATAAAATTTCAGGGTTTACTTTTGAAGCATGTTAAAAACCTGTCTTAGAACATGAATGTTACAAGAAAAATGTATAAAAACATTATGTAAAAAAAAAAGAGGTAAAAAAGTAATTTACTTTACATCCAATTTAGAGTGATAACTTGTTGTGAATCATAGATATAGCTAAGACATAATATACCGTCATATCAAAACCACCTAATAGAACTTGTAGCTTTAAACTTGTTTTTATGTCTTAAATGCCGAGTTCTATAAGTTCAAATTTTGTTGTTTAACCTGCAATTCGATATCTACTGCTGTGAGCGAAATACAAACTTTGTTAATAATGATAGGTAATGGTTGAAGTGGAATACCCTCGACATACATAATAAATTTTAACAGTCAATATAAATGTTAAAAATCCCTTAGCTTTCTAACCTTATTACAAGTGTATATTTGGATTTGTACTTCATCTATTACAGTGTATTTATGCTACTCATTTTGGTTAGAAAATATATCAGAGCCTTTTAAGATCGTCATCTGCCTTGAGTTAAATCCATTTGTGTCAAATGGTGTCTTTAATAAGTCTATGTTGGTTTAGAACTGGACTTCGTAAACTAAGTGACATTTTACGGTTCTGAATGCAGCTGTTAATGTTGTGGTTATTTATTAAGTTGTGATTACGGCACTTGAAATGATGTATAGATTATGCACTTAAACAAAACCTCCTTATGACAGTTGGACATTATAGTGGTAGAAAGAAATAGACGATAAACATAAAGTCTGCGCACGGTTGATACTTATTAAGTTTTAAGGGTTTATAATATTATTATTATTCTCAAATATAGCCTATACATGTCCCACTGCTTAGAAAAGGCATCTGTACAGACATTTTCAACAATTGGCTTACTTCACAAATGTTCGAAATATTTCGTTTTTGTTGACAATTAGAAAATATGAATGTTTTCCTCACGATATTTACGTTCACTGCTGAGGGCGTGTTAAGTCAGCATTTAAAATTAAAAATAACATTGGTGCTGGCTCAGGGGTATTGGATTCAGGTGGCTAGAGCATAATGAATGAACTTAGAGCGCCTGGACACTGACAGTTATCTCAATAACAATTTTTACATCGTGAATAAACATGAACACGCTACAACTTTTTTTGTCAAAAGTATCTGATTTATTATCTTCGCGAATGTTATTGTGTGAATAATGGAATTTGTAATATTATTTAGAAGTACACTATACCTTGAATACACTATAACTTTCACATTTTAAAATGTTAAATTACTTTAACAGAGTTTTTATATTAACCCATGTCCATTATTCATTGAGACTTAAAATTTGTTTTGAGTTGCACAATAATGTATGTTAATATGGTACGGTATGAACTATGTTTAAACTAATTTGTTACCAGTCACAAATTAGTAAGCAAAACTGAATAGTATATTAGTTTTAAGGAAAAAAATTGTTTATCTGCAATGGGTTGTAAAAATAAAACTATCGAAATATTTTTAAGCAGAGGGTGTTTAGAGAAGCGTTTACACTGCCTTATGAAATTATTTTCTTTATCAATAATGTATAGCAAATAAATTATTTCTAAAGAAATCCTTTGTTGAAAAAACCAGCTACAAATATGTATAACATAGACTCGGATCACCTTTTCGATAAGCACTGGCTTATGCACTTTCTTATGATCTTAATACAATTTTAATAATAAAGTAATAAGAAAAAGTCTAATCTGCTTATTAAAAAATAAAATTGTAAAATAAAACGTATCATTAAACGTTTGACATCATCTGGAGTAATATTTTACTTCAGCGTAAGCGCGGACCCAGGGGGAGGTTATTGGTTTTTTTAACTCATTACAGTTCTGCTTAAATGATGTTAAATATCTAAAATTCTTAGGTAAGTTTCAATTTAATAATTAAAAATACCTTTTTTGTATTTACATGAAAGAGTGACTTTTTCAGATGCTACTGCATTATTTCAGATGGTTGCTTTTTTACCAAGCTCCTACAAGTAGTGACTAAGAAATTGCAATCAAATTGTAAATTATCCACGGGTTTCGACTTACGGATCCACTCATATACCTATAATAGCATGAAACAGAAATTAGGTTAATTATGAACTTGTATGCAGTGACAGTTTTTTCATGTTTTAATTATATTTGAATTAAATATATGGGAAATATCATTATACAATTAAGTAATGTAGGAAAACACACAATATAAATTTACTACTTATTTTATTTCTTTAATTTGAACAAAGGTTGTTTGATTCATTACAATATGATATATATTTCATTACATAATTAAAGGAAGGCACTTCTAGCGAGTGATATAATCTTATAGACAAAATATTCTTTTTTCGTTAATTACAGTTATTAAAATGTAAATAATCTTTGATCATTAAAAATATTACAATTAAACTATTGGAATTGAAGATTTATAATGTTTGGTAAAAAAAATATAAATACATAATATATTTTATAAATAAATTAACCCATTATTATCAGGTAAATATACTCTATAAAATACCATCATTATAGAAAGCAATTTTTTGGAATATTTTACATATTAGGATATATCTAAAAAATCCCCATTGCCTACTTAAAGATATTCCATAACATTTAAATTATAGGATAAATCTACCATATCAAAGATGATAGAACCAGAACCAAACAACTGAAGAGTTAGACTACAATAAAGTATTCCTTTGGCATAGTGATGGGACCCAATATGTTAAATTCACATCTGGCGGGCGAAAAAGATTAATGGAAATCAAAAAGAAAGGAAAAATGTATATAATAAATTTTGCACCATATTCTATAGCAAGATAACAAATACAAGAACTGACTAAAAATACAGAAGTTGTTTTGCAATGTCTTAAAATTGCTTTAAAAAACCTAATAGTTTTCTAAACATTAATTAAACTATTAACTTGTAACTCATAACGAACAACCTATCTAATTATTAACAATATTTATGTAAAAATGCAACTTGAATAAGAAATACTTATGACAATTTTAGAGATTTTTATTACATTGTTTATGGAATATAAAAGGAGCACAGCCGTTTAGTATTATTTTTTGAGAGTGAAGATGATTAAAAGTTAATTTAAACAAAATCAAAAAAGTTTAAGTGTAAGGTAACATTCATTCAAACTTTTTTGATTGTGGTTAATATACTTTTTAAATTATCACAAATAAATTATACTACCAGAGATATTCCTTACGCTTGCACATACAGTGAGAATTATGTTTAAAAACATATTTGAAGATTATACAAGATGTATAAGAATACTTAAAAAGTAAAAAGGTGCAGATAAATTTTAAACATCAAATCTAATTACCTTGTTAACATAATAATTTGATTTAATGAGTAAATCAAATCTTATTGCCCTTTAATAACAGATAAATTTAATTTTGTCTACTTAATTTTGATTATACTTAGTAAGAGCATTTAACATGATCATATTTTAATAATTCTTAAAATGTCAATATGCCTGCATGTTGTAGTAAAATTAAATAATACATCAACCTACTGTAGAAATATATTAAACAAGAAACTCAAGAAAATTAGAAATATACCTAGGAAAAGAGTTAATAAAAAGATTATGAAGTAATTATGTAAAAGGTATTGATGACTCCGTGGCGCAGTTGCCTGCGTCGCGTTGGCTTCGGCGTCGGGGGTCGCGGGTTCGATTCCCACACGGGACAACTATTTGTGTGACCCACAGAAAGTTGCATCTGGGTGTTTGTCCGCGTGAAATTTATGTTTGTAAAACGTCCTTACAACACAGGATAATATTATCCGAAAAGTAAGGGCAGTGTTTTAAAAACATTACATTTAAAAAAAAATAATAAGAAAATATGATATAAAAATATCATAAATCACCTCATTTTCATAACTATACATTAAGTAATAAAAACTAAAAGAGGAAATTGACATCATTATATCAAGTAAGTCTTCATTGAACAAAATACTTAGAAAAGGAAGTTTTAAGTCACTATAATTATTGGTTAATATAAACAGCAATTAATCGGAAAAGAGGTATATGAACAAAGTAGTTAAATGAAAACTTACCATCCTCATACTAAAAACGTAACAACATCACAACTCAGAAATATTTAAACATAAAAAAATATGAAAGTTTCAAAACTTTCTGTGGGTAATATACATATATATATATATATATATATATATATTTCAATATGCGTACGCATGAAGAGTACCTTTATATTCTAGACAACAGTTTCATAAAATGGACATCAAAGTAATCGACTACCTAACAGTACACAAAATACCTACTATTATTTAAAGATTTTAAATTTCGAATGCAGAAAGAAATGATCGCGTATTACTTTAATTTTGAATACAATCATGGTATAGAGTACCCAGTTCAACTACTGCTGTCATCATTATGACTTTGTGACAAATTTTAAGATCAACACTTTTCCCAAAACAATGAATTCGGACCTTCTACTGAGAAACTATACTTCTACTTATAAAATACCTACTATTTAAGCGGTATTTGATATGTTAAAAATTGCATAAATAAATTAAAATCTCTGGTTGCTCCTAGATTTTTTATATTGTTTTTTTAATTCATATTATTCATTGCGTAGAGAGCACATAGTGATTCATGTAAATGTTATATATTTAGAATTTAGTTAAATTCACAGACAAAATTTAAGTATTATATTAAAAATTATACAAGTAATTGTAATTTGGGACGCAATACTCTGATAATACCATGATCAGAGGATTTGAATTATTGCCTCTGCTAACTATGGCTTTAATTTCAATAAAAAATACCTATTATGGAGGCTTCTAAAAATTGTAATACATAAATAAATATTTTTTTCTCAAATAACGCCGCATTTTGTCGAAATAAAATGTAATTAATCAAGTTTTAAAGACAAGTATTTATCACATAAAATACACGAAATAAAAAGTTTTTTTTTCACATAAGGCAAAATCACAAATTGTTAATAACAAATAAGCTAATAATTAAAAACAAACCATATTACCCGTGTAACAACATTAAGGAGGGAAAGTATTAATTCTTTGTAGAAAGACAATGTAAATATTTTATATCTTGTACAATGTACGCAAAATAATTAATAAAACCTTGAACAAAAACGGTCGATAAAACAGTTCACTACAACTTTAACTAATCAATTTCAAAATAATTATTTATAACCATAATGTGTATGCACTCACACGTACTAACTATTTGCAGTTATTTCTATTACACTGAAACACTGTTACAACTTATTATTATGGCTATCTCTTTGTAGAAAAAAAAAACAGTTAAAATACGAAGATAACATATTTATATACATTATTATATTGACAGCTTGCAAAGGTGGATGTTTTACTTTTGCATTTGATCGCTGTACCGTATCATTATCAGCGAACCCAGCATTGGCTCACTGTAAAAAATCTTATTATTCATCATTGTTAAAAATTAACGTTAGAAAAGAAATGTTATTTACAGCAATAACATTTTACAAACTGGAGAACTAAAAGTGTACACCACATTGTTAGTTAATAGTCGTTGGGTTAGTTATCTTTACGTTGTTATAGTTTCTGTGTGCTAATGGTTTAGGTGAACAATTTCAGGGAAGTATTTCTCGATTTTATATGGCACCTCAACCCCTTACTGCTGGCTCCGTCGCACTACACAAGCTGATGTAGCAACAGGATTTAATTGAGCGCCATTCGCTTCCACAAACTTTATAGCTTCGCTGAAGGCACCACTTCCCTCCACCAGCTCGCCCGCTCGAACGTGCCTGGGTGGCTCACCAGCGCCTTTTGCAGGTTTTGGTACAGCTGCAATTGAAAAGATAATTCTATACAAAGGTTCTGGTTATGTGTGGCTGTCGTGTATCCTTGGTAGGGTTAGACGAGGTGAGTTTAAGTATACAATTTTGTACATAGCGCTAGTAGGCGTATTAACGTCAGACATACTGATGAATATTTCCAATATATGTTGATATGGTAACCTCATGGTACATGCCTTTAATATAAAGTCAATGGTGAGATTGACCAATATAAATTCCGTTTAGAGGATAATTAGACGATTGGCTTAGTTAGTAGTGAACCTTGCCTCGTTCGCCAGAGGATGTGGGTTTGATCCCCACTTCTGGAAAACTATTATATGCTTCTGAAAAACTATTGTATGATGAACATAGTGTGTTTCCAGTGTCTGGGTACTTATACATGTAATATGCATTTTATTATATTTACAAAATAAAAGTATATGTATGTTCATCATTTAACGCTCGCTTAGCTTGGGACTAGAGAATGTTGTTTAAAAATGTGTCCTAGAGAAATTTATTCACTCGACACTAGCCACAATTGGAATCTGAGAAATGAAAGCCGCCGGGATCTGAATAGACAGTTAAAATGACTGGCAAGGCGAGCATTGTATCAAATTAAACCTCTAGATGAAAGGAGCCGGCTTCTACATACCCTTCCGTCGCTCTTTCCCAAAACGGAGTTGAGGACGAAATCTGTCGGGGCCAGAGCGTCGACAACGCTCACCACCTCGCCCTTCAGATCGGCGCACAGCTCCATGATAGCCTCCCTCATCAGCCTCGCCGGCTTGTCGCCTGTGCAGTACCCCCCTTGGTACAGCTCCACTAAGTGTCTGTCCAACGACCACAGACCGTACAAAGTGAACAGCTTATACAGCACAGGCTGTAACTCCTTCTCTTTCTTCTCTATGGATTCCAGACTGAACATTATCGCGAGGTATTCGGCGTACGCCTTCGTTAGGTTCTTCCATCTGTAGACCTGTGATTTGTTCTTCGCTTGGAACTTTGTCAACCCCTTGGCGAGGAGTGCTTCATATTTCTCGTAGGTCTCTTTTAGAAGCCAGCATATGAGCCACTTGTATGTTGATAGGATAACTGGAAAATAAAATATATAAATTTATGTTAACTTATAAATAAATTAAACATATTAGTATATTACCTCTTCTACATGTTAAAAGTTCTTAAAGCAATTTTGGCATAAACTCGGTATATCTCTGATCTCAATAAAAAATTCACACTAACATGTACCAGTATGTTTTCTATGATATTAACAATGCATGTTACTAGTTATTTTCCTTATTATGGCTTTGAATCATGAGAGCTACCGAATTTCTACTGCTAATCTGATATTAGTGCATTTGAATCTAGGAAGTTCAAAGATCACTTTTATCTGGACAATATCTGATAGTGGCGGAGTAGAATAGTAGGGAAGCTCGGAGGAGCTACCCTACACAGGTGGGTCATGCGTTGTTAACGGTAGCCGAAACGCGACTGTTTACCGTGTATGAAAAAAAACTTAAATTTTGTATATAAGCGCACCGATGATTATTACACTAGACGATTTATTTTAGTCTTCCCTTCGAAAACATTGCCCGTTCTGTTTTGCGAGAACCTTTCGCATACATAAATTCCACGTGGTCAAACACCCAGGTCCGAGTTATCTGTGTGTCACAAACAGTTGGTCTCGGGTGGGAATCGAACCATCACGGTGGGGGCCACCAGGGGCCTTACACTCCGTGGTCTTGAGCTGGGAGGTGGCGTCGGCGTCGAAGAGCAGGGCGGCGATGGTACGGTGCTCAAACACCCAGGTTCGAGTTATCTGTGTGTCACACAAACAGTTGGTCTCGTGTGGGAATCGAACCCCCCGTCACGTGAGGGTCTTACATTGCGTGGTCTTGAGCTGGGAGGTGGCGTCGGCGGTGAAGAGTAGGGCGGCGATGGCGCGGTGCTCCTTGAGGAAGGCGACGGTGAGCAGCGGCGAGTCGACGCATCCCCCGCCCCTCGCCGCCTCGTACTGGCGCAGCAGCCAGTTGCCCGCCTGCTGGGACAGCACGCTGTTGTCCCCCTCGTACGTCACCGTCGGCTCGTGGTTGCTGCGGATGTCGCCCAGGTTCGCGCACTGAGAAACGGAACGAGTGACGATTGTACGGCCGCCTTGTTTGCTCCGTTTTGGCGCGTCGCTAGCGTTTAAAACAAGCGTGGAACTTTTGCGGCAGATGATCTATTGCAGTCTTAAAATGGATCGTAATCGGTCGCAACAAGGGTGAGAATGGCGCCCAAAGACCGCTGCCCAGATGATCGATCTATTGCAGTCTTAAAATGGATCGTAATCGGTGGCAATAAGGGTGATAATAGCGCCCAAAGACCGCTGCCCAGATGATCTACTGCAGTCTTAAAATGTATCGTAATCGGTCGGAATAAGGGCGAGAATGGCGCCCAAAGACCGCTTCCCAGATGATCTATTGCAGTCTTAAAATGTATCGTAATCGGTCGCAATAAGGTTGAGAATGGCGCCCAAAGACCACTGCCCAGATGATCTATTGCAGTCTTAAAATGTATCGTAATCGGTCGCAATAAGGTTGAGAATGGCGCCCAAAGACCACTGCCCAGATGATCTATTGCAGTCTTAAAATGTATCGTAATGCGTCGCAATAAGGTTGAGAATGGCGCCCAAAGACCACTGCCCAGATGATCTATTGCAGTCTTAAAATGTATCGTAATGCGTCGCAATAAGGTTGAGAATGGCGCCCAAAGACCACTGCCCAGATGATCTATTGCAGTCTTAAAATGTATCGTAATGCGTCGCAATAAGGTTGAGAATGGCGCCCAAAGACCACTGCCCAGATGATCTATTGCAGTCTTAAAATTTATCGTAATCGGTCGGAATAAGGGTGAGAATGGCGCCCAAAGACCACTGCCCAGATGATCTATTGCAGTCTTAAAATGTATCGTAATCGGTCGGAATAAGGGTGAGAATGGCGCCCAAAGACCGCTGCCCAGATGATCTATTGCAGTCTTAAAATGTATCGTAATGCGTCGCAATAAGGTTGAGAATGGCGCAGCGCCCACCTTGAGGTAGCCGTGGCCGCCGCACGCCTCGCGGCACTGCTGGGCGGCCTCCAGCGTCGTCCACGTGAGCAGCGGTTTGCTGCACGACACCATCGCGTGGATCTCGGACACCGCCTCGCTCTGCGAATCGGATACAAAGGAACCGTTGTGAAGGGTGAACGAGTAGTGGAACATCCCCTCGTCTGTATCTCGGCTGTGGTGTCCTCAACACTAGGATGATGTGAACTTTTTATTCAAGAAAGCAGACAGCCAGCGGTGCGCTTAATATTAAATGATTACCAACACTCGTGGATAATACCTGTGATGTTGAGTATACAGCGTGTCGCTACAACCGCGACAATAAATGAACACACATATACAGGATAACTTTTTAAAATTGTATTAAGCATTATTTAAACATTTATTTAGCGAGTTATTCAATTTTACAAAACAAACATTTATAGAACACCCTTACGTTAAAAACTGTAACATAAAGTTCATTTGTAATGGTCACAAAGCATATGAATGGGTTCAATGAATTTAAAAGAGACCAAACATACTGTTAGAAGGAGATGCTTGTAATGCGACGCTGTGGCAACGAATGAAAAAAATCGCCGAATGTATGAATCAGTCAGTTGTAGTTGTATAGGATGTTACAAATTCTGTTTCTTTTTTTTATAATTATTTGAAAAATATATTTTTTTAATTATGGATTTTTTAACGTTTTTTATTTTTTTATGATTATTGGCAAGTAGCGTTAGACGTGTGTTCATTTATGGTCGCGGTTGTAACGACGCGCTGTAAAATGTGGTAGGGCCACGTAACAGTCTTCTCTATTGCGCGACGAAGCAGGTCCGTCCGAGTAAGTACCACGACTACACAGAAGACCGGCTTGAAATGGAAGTGTTACACTTCTGCGTTTCGTCTGGTGAATGAGAGAGTCGGGGCCCACTTTAGTAAAAGGTGGCAACGCATCTGCAAACAAGCGGGTGTTGCGAATGTCCGTGGGCGGTGGATTACACTCCACATCAGGTAAAACGTAAGCTCGCTTGCCACGTTCTCACATAAAAAGAAATTTAGTCTCCTATCTAATATTAATCGGTCAAGTGATCAGAAATAGAGCAAGCGAAATTTATGTGGTTAAGACAATTTAAAAGAGGAAATCGACGTGGACACGGGGGAAAAGTGTTGCCCTCTCGCTCGCACTGCAGTCTAAATCACTTACTGTCTCGCTCAGATTTCATTATGATTTACAGTTGCCAAAAACGGTTTTGCGATACCAGTTTCTTTTAGATCCTTGTCAGTTTTATTAAGAGTAAAATCGTCGAAGAAGTTAACTAATCAGCTGATCAGATGGCTTTTTTAATGTCATTAAAGTTGGCAACTCAACTCAAAACAAGCCATTTGACAGCTGATTAGTAAATTTCTACGATGGTCAGTGCTTCAGAAACCGGGCGTTAGATATACAAATCAGATCATTGAAAAATTCGATGTCTAATTAAACAATAAGGTTGAGTTTCTCACCAAATTGTCGACTTTAAGACCCATATTTGATTTCTCCACAATGTTCAGGTAAACTTGGGCAAAGTTCTGGATGTATATCCGGAACACCACAGCCGCTGCCACGTAGCCGAATAACCGCCATTGCTGTAATACACATTAAGAGTTTAGGTTATTATAGAACAATTGAAATATTATGTAATAATGTTCTAATAAATCACTACATAGTATAAAACAAAGTCGTCCCGCTGTCTGTCTGTCCCTATGTATGCTTAGATCTTTAAAACTACGTAACGGATCTTGATACGTTTTTTTTTTACTAGTGATAAGAAGGTTCGGTTCCTCGACAAGGGCGGTACAGCACTAATCCAAAACAATCGACACTCGCTGCTCCTCCCTAGTCGGAATGTCATGTCATAATAGGACTGTTGGCGCGAATATATACCGCTCTAATACGACTTACAAACAAATGATGAGAATAGCTGATTTGAGCATGCGTTTTCCTCTTAATACTAGATAGAGTGATTCAAGAGGAAGATTTATATGTATAATACATTGCACCCGTGCGAAGCCGGAGCGGGTCGCTAGTGTTATAATACACCGTTCTGATATACTTTGACATCTTTTCTCTATTCTGCTGGGCTTCTCGAATGGGCTTGAAGTGAGAGTATAATAATTTTGCGTTTTTTCTGATGAGTTTGGTAACCGGATCCCACCTTTTTTAATATTTGGCATTTTAACCCAAACGCGTGGGTTCTGGCTAGCCCACCAGTTCTGCGTCAGATGAAGCATTAATAGCCTCGGGACTGAAAGCAAAAACATCAGTTAATACATGACTTTTTTAATATTTGACAAACGATCTGCAATCCTTAAGCTGTTGTAGATGTCCGTAACGGTATTTTCTTAAGCTCATCCGCTTGCTCACTTGACAACTTTTCACATAAGTAAAGAACTTTCATATTATGTAACAATCAAATGCTTTAAGGTTACTTGAAACTCCACACCATTCAAGGACGCATTTTTTTCTATATTTCCCATAAACACACCATCAGGGTTGATAGGATTAATTTATTATCAAAGTATTATTAAAACAAAGTAAAATTTGTAAACAAATATAAACAACGATAGCTTACAAAGCTATCGTTGTTTATATTTGTTTACAAATTTTTTACAAATATAAACAACGATATTAAAAACGATGACGAAACTGAAGACCCGAATGGCGTACTGGGTAGTGCACCTGGCTCCTGTCCAGAGGGTGTGGGTTCGATCCCCACTACTGAAAAATATTGTGTGATGAACATAGTGTTTTTCCAGTGTCTCGGTTTTTTTATATAAAAAAAGTTTTTTTTATATGACAAAGTGGCAAACGAACTGGGCGGTTCACCTTATGTTAAGTGATAACCGCCACCCATGGACATTTGCAACACCCGTAGGGTTGCAGAAGCGTTGCCACCTTTAAATAAAGTGGACCCCGGCTACCTCACTCACCAGACGAAACGCAGAAGTGTAAAAATTCTACTTTACGCCGTATTTCTGTGAAGTCGTGGCACTTACCCGTACGGAACTGCCCATTCGTGCAACAGTGAATGCCATTGACTGGCCTTACCACAGTTAAAAAAGTATGTTTAAGTATCTTTATCAGCTATCTAGTATCCATAGTACAAGCGTTGCTTAGTTTAGGACTAGGGAACGTTGTGTAAAAATGTGTCCTAAAATATTTATTTATTTATTCTATGACAACACAGCCGCATTGCTGCGGAAGTAAATCGTCAAAATTCGGGGCACGGTTGGATTGTTTCGGCGGCCTTTCTTTAGGATGAAGGTTACGATAAGAAAAGAGCGGCAGTCAATGACAAGGACCGAGTGACTATTAAACAGTTTTACGCACCTTGCAAATGAGATAAACAGTCTTAAGAATGTATTTTCTGCGTGTAGAATCGAACCACCGACCTCATTGAGATATAATGTGCGGAAATTGTAAAGAACGCAATTGTGTGTGACCCACAAATGTTTTTTTTTCGATCAGGTTTTTTTGTAAAACCTCCTTGAACCACAGGATAACGTTATCCCACAGTAAGGGGAATGGTTAAAAAAATAGTCTGTGTGTACTTATGCACGTACGTAAATAGTTATAACTTCTTTAGCGTAACTAAAGAGAAATAACTTATAATTTTAATCTCGTGTGCCAGTACACTTTGTTTGAGTAAAATTCATTTGATAAGGTTTAATTAAGTAACTCAGAATTATAGCATATTGTCTGGCCGATAGCTTTTAATTCAATATACTCGAACAACTCGAGTTATATCCCCGATGCCATTTAGATGCACATTCTCAGGGGAAACAACATCGCGAGGAAACATGTTCGAAATAATAACAAAAAAAAATAAAATATTTCGAGAAGGGAAGTGAAGTCGTAGTGAAGTAGAGTGGTGTACCATGTCCTAATACCCTCTTGTACAGAGGCCTTTGCCCAGCAGTGGGAAATATGCCTGTTACTATACTTTTACCTTGCTATTAATAAAAAAAAAAAATGTCAAAAAGTTCGTGGTCGGCGTCGCTTTAGGGTGTCGCGCAAAATCCCTTCCTACAGCAAAAGAAGTATAGCTTAGGGAAATTAAACAAAAAAAACGTAGGGTGGCATTTGTGGCAGCTCGACGTGGCAACACTCACGTGCAGGTCGTACTCGAGCAGCGGTATCTCGTTGTCCCTCTCGCCGAACTGGGTGCGCGTGGCGGCGTAGCGGACCGCTACGCTGACCGCGCCCGCTATCGAGTGGCAGCTCTCCTGCATGATGCCGATGCGGCCTGCGCGAGCGCGGATCGTGTTGGCGACAAGCCGACAAACGTTAGGGGTCTACACCGCACTTAACCCGACGTGAAACGGTGAGCGAAATAGATGAGATTCAATTTTTGTATGACATATAAAATGTTTCGTATTGAGCTCGCATATCCGCTAATGACATAAAAAAAGTGGCAACTGGTTCTCGGGCGGCAACCTACTGTTGGCCGACGTAGTGTGACGAACTACGATGGGGGGAGGGGGGTGGGGGGGGGGCGCTAGATGGAGTGACGATCTGTGCAAATGTGCGGGAAGTCCATGGACGCAGATGGCTCAGTACTTCGTGGCAGTCTGTGAGGGAGGCCCACGTTCAGCAGTGGACTGGAACAGGCCAATATGATATTTTTTAAGCGAGAAGGTGGCAGGCGAGCCGGCGGTACCTGATGTTCAGTGATTAGCGGACACCGGCTACTTCACTCACCAGAAGAAACGCAGAAGTGTGACACATGTTACTATTAAAATATCTATGACGTTTTTCAAGTGTTGTGTTCACTCACCAGCAGATAGGTTCTCTAGTGCCGCGCCGAGTATCCTGGACGGCTCCGAGAACGAGCTCACGTACTGGCCATCCTCGGTGACATCAGCCGTCCTGTTTAGGAGGTTCTCGCGCGGTATCCGGTACTGGTTGAACATTATGAATCTGGAATACGAGAACTGGCTCAGTGCGTTGAGGATGTTACGTCACGGCAAATCTTCTGATCATTTAATCGAAAGTAATTATATACAGCGTGTCGTTACCATCGCGACAATAAATGAACACACGTCTAACGCTACGTGCCAATAATCATAAAAAAATATAACGTTAAAAAAAGCCATAATTAAAAAAATATATTTTTCAAACAAACTAATTAAGTATAAAAGAAACAAAATTTGTAACACCTATATAACTCGCGCCACAGCGTCGTATTACAAGCCTCTCCTTCTAACAGTATCTTTTGTCTCTTTTAAATTCATTCAACCCATTCATATGCTTTGTGACCTTTACAAATGAACTTTACGTTACGCTTTTATAGGTGAGGGTGTTCTAAAATTCTTTGTTTTGGAAAATTTTATAACTCTGTAAATATTGATGTTTAAAGAATTTAAATGTTTAATACAACTTTAAAAAGTTATCCCCTATATGTGTGTTCATTTATTGTCGCGATGGTAACGACACGCTGTATAATATAGTGAATTTGTAGAATGTTAGTATCGTTTTGTATGTGAATAGATGGCAAACGAGCAGATGGCTCAACTTTGTTTTACTCGTTTAATAGTAGTCAGTAGGTAAACCTTTGTACCTGATGTTATATTGAGTTTCATTATGTATGATGTGTTTGCTATGTATAGAATACAATCATTTTTTTCTGTGTATATTTCTTTTGTAATCTAGCTAGATGTATATAAATGTTCAGTTAAGCAGACCTAATAAACTTTAAAAAAAAAAACTGATTTTACGTGATTACCAAACCCTACAACACCTGTCGAGATACAGATGCCTTGTCAATCATTAAAAAAGTGGGTCCCGTTTACCTCACTCAGCAGGCGAAAAGCGAAAGAATAATACATCCATTTCACGCCCAACTTCTATGAGGCGGTGGTACTTCCCCGGACGATCCTGCCCATACGTGCAACAGCAAAGACTAACGTGGCCACGCAAGAGGGGCCCATTGTGGTAAGGCCCTACCGTTAAATGACCAATGGAAATTTCCCGAACATAGGGATGTTATTGATAGTACGGATCAACTATCCTCCCGCCCTTATCCCACCCGCTGAAGTGGTAATGGCTTCGTTTTATTTCGACCGACATCCAGCCTGACACAAACCCTCGTTGGGAAACAAACAGCTAGATCCGGTACTATTATCTGAGGGTCGCAAAAATGCTTGTCCTGTGTGGGAATCGAACCAACGACCCCCGATCCCGCGACCAATACCTTAGCAACAGCTCCACCGCCGAGTCATAAACACTTGAAACATTTCTCAAATATAAAGAAGAATTCTTTTACCACTTCAAAGTCCAACATTTATGCCAAGTGTTTAACGTATGTTAGACACATGTATCTAGAATTTATAGGCTCCCTGGGAAGAAGAGACAGGGATCAAATATTTCAGGCAAACACGGATAGAAAAGTACTTGCGTGTAATAATAATTCAGTGAAAGTAAAATTAGTGATAGTTCTACGTCACTAACTTGCGGCATGCCCTTTGTAATTCGAGTTAGCGTTATCGCTGTTATCAAATGATGGCTCTGTGTCGGCCTTGAGTGTGACTCAGACCGTAATACGTAATGTAAAGGCCGTAAAAATACTTTATGTACACATCACCGTTCCATATTAGAATTAGGGCGACTAGCATACCGGTTTCCTGTATGCTTATTTATACGCGCCTTAACAATTCTACTTATGTATTTAGTTTTACGTTTACACATTCAGATCAATAAAAATATTAATTAGAAATTATTAACATAAAAAATACTATATTAGATCTAAATTATGTGTTTAACAACGCGTACACAAGGTACACAAAGCCACCGATTAGCCTAATCCGTCGGGGGTCTCGGTCCGAACCGCGACCTCGACTTAGATATTTAGATCGGAGGGTCCAAACCCGTGAGTTCTTAGATGTCCGATGAAGCTTTAATACACTGAAAGCAAAAAAACTTATTAGATGTGTTACACCAAACTTAATAGACGTGAAAATTCCGGAGAATAAATCAATGCAAAAGACATTAAGTTAATATAAAACAACATTAAAAATGGCTCTTCTTCGTTAATTGATATGACGAGCGTGGGATGTATGAAAACTACATTTCAACGCGACACCTATTATAGTGGACCACAATTATCCTCTACCAATATTTTATCCGATTGGTCTGGCAGTCAAGACATAATTTAAAAGTTATGACATACAAAGTCGTTAAATGTACACGTAGATAATAATTAAATTAGCGGTGTGTTTATATGTATTTTACGAAACGAAAGAAATAATGGCATACAAAGGTCACAGGGGTCACCATTAACGTCTATGGATAATATACTTAACATCATCATAAGAATTATGAACCCCCCCCCCCGCATTAGATGATATATTCCGCGTTAGCATTTGCAAAATTGAAATCACAAACCAATATCACACCCGGACTCGGAATGACAATTAACGTATCAAGCAAAAAAACAGTATTATAAAACGACGCGCATTAACAGGTGCAAAGTGACCACCGGCATTGCTTTATTCTCTATTCTCTTTATTTGCATTCCACGTGTATATATGTTAGGTTGTAAAACTTAAAATTAAAAATCATCATGGAACCCGTTAGGAAATACATAAGTAAAAAGTTGTTAGGATTAATAAACATATTGCTATGCTCACTAAGTGCAGTTAATTTCGCGCGGACGTTTTAATCTTTAATATCGATGTTATCATTTTCAAATGTTTAATTCGATAAGTTATTTAACTAATCGACATTATTAGACCGAGATTGCACGAGATGACTGCGTTAAATAATCGGAAAAAAGTTGTCGCTTTATTGCGCGCGAAATAGTATCCGAATAATCGTTAGCCGTACAAAATGTCTAATGATGCAAAGTGAAGCCTCATGATAATTTTTTCCTTATAAGCTCTTGTAAGCGTTCGCAATCGTCCACCTCATTCGATCGGATGTCGCTTATTGTACTATTGACTACAATTTCACGTTATTGTAAAGCGCAATATTAAAAAAAATCCAGCGTGTATAGACCTTATTTAGACCGAGACTCCCTTTATTATTACATTTTAGGGTTAATCTTTCTGTGGGAAAATTTGGAGGTCACGCACAATCAATGATTCAGCTTAATTGATAGATATTCCTTCATCGAAGAAATGCGACAATGGATCGAATGTTTCGCGATACCGCTTATCTGGTGCGGTGCAGCGTGAAAATAGTTTTTATGGCTCACGACGTGCGATACAATGGCCTTTAACGTAATTTTTATCGTCGACCGCTTGTCCGATGACAAACCTTAATGCGCGAATTATTTTCTTTTGTTATTTACGACTGGCTTTCGTTTATTAAATCGGTGTTTAAATGTTTTGGAAAGTTCAGATAAATGTTATATCATCGAACAATACAATGTTCCCTAATAACAAATAATTTTAAGTGCAACTAATTGAGTTCAATCAAACAATCAATCAGCCTTTTCCACCTTTACATAGGCATCTCCAAGGGCACGCCACCGTGCCCTAATTGAGTTGTTGACTTGCAATTATTTAGTTTTAATTAGAATCGAATTGGTGTCTACCGAATTAGTGCGTATAATAAAATTAGAAGTAGCTTCGTTGCTGAGAGCTCTCTGGTAATGAATCAAGCTGCATGTAAACGAAGTTTTCATTCCTCGGAAAGCACTGACACATTCTATCTGACATTCTATATGACTTCTAGCTATCTTCTAGGTATATGACAACTGGCTGAATACTCGCCACCTTATAGGACACAATAAGCTGCAAGTTCCTACAGACTTTGTTAATTAAAAATAATTAAAAAAATAGGATTTGCGGCGCTTAATTTTAATTCCGGACGTCTTAAACACTTCACATGGTCCATGGACCCTACAGCTTCTTGCGCGCCAGTTTTAACAATGTGTGACATGCGTAAACCCAAGAAAACATTATCCGGTAGACTTTAGCTAAAGTTTATAGACAGTGGCGGATTTGTAGTCTTGGCCGCCGTAGGCCCCAGCCCATGTAGTAAGTTATAGCGGCCCCTTTCTCAGCGCCCACCATATATCTTGTTATCATCAGTGAATTTTTTGTCACGATTGACCGCCCCTGATGTGTGACCGCCTTAGGCCCGGGCCTATTGGGTCTTAGGGCAAATCCGCCACGGATAGTCATCTCTGCTTACCGCAAGTGGGCTTAAAGACGTTAGAGTTGTTTACATTATCTATAAGTAGTCATACTGTGAAATTGCTGAAGCCACTGACCCGTTATCGATGCCGTTGACGCCTATCTTCTCGCCCATGTCGCCCACCACCAGGCCGGGGTAGGTCTCCAGGGTGTCCGGATCCCTGATCGGCACCACGAAGCCGTGCAGGCCGTGGTTGGTGCCGTCGGGCGTGATCAGCTGCGCGAACAGCAGCGTGTGCGTGCACGTTCTGCCTGGAAGCAACGGTCACCGTTACGTTGCGTCGGTGAGATTTTCGTGTGGGAATGGGGCAAGCGAACTGGCGGTTCACCTGATGCTAAGCGATAACCGCCGCCAACGGACGCTTGCAACAGCCGTAGGGTTTCAGATGCGTTGCCACTACTTCGATGAAGTGGCAATGACCCAATGACCGACCGCAAGAAACGCAAAAGTATAACACTTCTACTTCACGCCGGTCTTCTGTGAGGTCGTGGTACTTCCCCGGACGGACTAGTGCAACAGCGAAGACCGTTGCGTGGCCCTACCACAGTTAAATTTATAATGACATCAATGAAAATTCCCCCGCGCTTGCATTCGTGAAGGCCCGTGTCTAAGACTTGGCGTACAATGAAGTGCGATTGTTTTTTTTTTTTTATGTGATAAAGTGGCAAAAGAGCTGGCGGTTCACCTGATGTTAAATGATAAACGCCGCTCATTTAAATTTGCAACACCCGTAGGGTTGCAAACACGTTGAGACCTTTAAATAAAGCGGGCCCCGGCTACATCACTCACCAAATGAAACACAGGGGCGTAACACATCTATTTTACGCCGGTATTCTGTAAGGTCGTGGTACTTACCCGGACGGACCTGCCCATTCGTGCAACAGTGTACCTACACTGTTGCATGGTTCTACCACAGTTGTCGCAAGTTAACATATCATGCCGAATGAAATAGCAGGTACTAGGAAGTACATAAACTAGATCATTAAGATTTGGGTTGCATTTTTGGCTAAATTTAAAGAATATTCTAAGAAATTTTGGCAACCTTTATACAGAACATACTATGAGCCTTGATAGCAGAGTTTCGAAATAATAACAAAAAAAGCGTGTGAAGTCCTAAAATCCGCAGTGGAGTGGATTATGCCTCGATACCCTCTGTACAGAGGAGGCCTTTGCCCAGGAGTGGGACACGTATAGGCTGATACTTTACTTTTTACTATAGACCGAACAGGGTAGGCTTTTGTGGAGAAGTCAATTGTGCTTTTTACACAGACTTTTTCATTGTAAGCAGTGATTATTAACAATAACCAATTAAAATTTCAAAGGCGATTAGATTTTTACGACGGGGGAAAGAACATTAAAAAAAATCAATAACAGTTCATGATTTTCATTAGTCCCGAAACTATGTAGTTTACGTTTCCATTTTAAAGTGAAAATGCAGTTGTTTCGTAGCGGTATTTAAAATGCAATGAAATAGCAATACCGTTTAGTTAGTCAGATTTAATTATTAAACGATTGAGACATTTATTTACATTTGTTCGTAAACTATGTATGGTTTACGTCACATATATGACGAAAATAATATATGACACGTGTTAAGCAACGTCCAACGAATCAAGTTCCATTTTAAAGCGAAAATGCAGTTGTTTCGTAGCGGTATTTAAAATGCAATGAAATAGCAATACCGTTTAGTTGGTCAGATTTAATTATTAAAAGATTGAGACATTTTTGTTTAAATATTTAAGTAGAAATAAACCTAGATAAGGAAGCATCAGATAATGAAACTTAATACACAATTCTACAACTTTACTGTGGCAGGGCCACGCAACTGCTTCGGCTGTTGCACTACTGTCTACTGACCGGCGTGAAGTGGTAATGCCATACTGCTGCATTTCGTCTGGCGAGTGAGGTAGCCGGGGCTCACTTTAATAAAAGTCGGCATCACATCTGCAACCCTACGGGTTTTGCATATTTTCATGGGCGGCTGTTATAACTTAAGAACCGCTAGCTCGCTTGCAACCTCGCATAAAAACAAGAAAAAAAATAACATTGAATAATTATATTTTTTCGGCTGGAGTTATAGCAATGTTATATTCTATAACAGTCGAGTAATAAGCCAATTATGATACAATTATGCACTGCAGACCCTATTATGTAATTTAAAAAAGTTAAATAGCTATAATTAAAAACTAAAAAAAAATATAATAATAATTTATTCCATACTTGAAAGAATGGAATTATTCTGCACGGAAACTTTACGTATTTTTATGACGCAAGTCTCGTATTTAATACCGATAAAAAACAACAGGGAATACTAATGAGACTATCATTGATTAAGACACTAAACGCTAAATACAGCTTATTAATATAAATGTGTATAAAAAGAAAAAAAAACGGTATAATTAGCGCTGTCTAACAGGCTCGTTGACGTAAATTTTGCAGGGCCTATTTCAAAAATTATTGCACGGCCTTAATAATATGTACTAACCCCGGATTATTCTCATGACATGGAACTCACGGATCTTCATCCGGTTACAAAAATAAAAAACAACCAACAATTATTATCGAATGAACACATCGAATATGCTGTAAATCACCAAAAGGTTTTGAATAAGCAGTTCATAAAAACAACTCGGCGTCGAAAGCAGTTGGTAGAAATTGATAGAACTAGAGACGTCGAAAACTAAATGTATTTTTGTTAATATATTATTTTCCCCGCATAACTTTTCAATCCACCCTCGTATGTAAGAAAGTAAAGTAAAGTAACAGCCTATACATGTCCCACTGCTGGGCAAAGGCCTCCTCTATACAGAGGGTATCAGGGCATAGTCCACCACGCGGCCCCACTGCGGATTGGCGGACTTCACATATCTTCGAAATATATTTTTTTTTTATTACTATTTCGAAAATATGCAGGTTTCCTCACGATGTTTTCCTTCACCGCGGAGCACGTGATAAGTCAGCACTTAAAGTTAAAAACTTCATTGGTGCCGGCACCGGGGATCGAACTCAGGTTGCTCGAGTATATAGAATTAAAGGCGAGTGCCCGGACACTGAGCTATCACGGTCCTCGTATGTAATATGTCCAAATTACCTACTTTTCCTGCTGTTAAGTGTGTTCAAAACTTTTGAGCTGTGAGACTCATCATTACTTAGAAAGTCTCCCCTTCTAGTTCTTGAGTGGTTCGATTATTTATATTAAGCGAAAAAAGGATGGGATCTCAAATATCAGAATTGTACGAATCAAGTTGATTCTTCATATTGATAGTAACATTAGAAGATAATTGTGTGTATAATTTAAAATAGTTCAAAGATAAGTTTTTACCTTATTAAAATTGAAAGATTTTCATTGCTTCAAATTAACACAACATTCTGTGGCCTTTACTATACTTATTTAACAGCCATGAAATTATTAATAAGCGTAATAAAGATTGTATATTAGATTATTTTTTTGTAATAAAAAGATCGTCAGCATCAAGTACTTAACGTCTTGAGCTCGCCGTATTAATAAATAAACATGGGTAGATTTAGCTTTGGCTATTGCGAAGAAATGTTTTTCTTCGAAAATGGTTAAATTGAAATCGAATGGATATTTAAAATTTTTACTGCAATCTCTTATGTCCAATTCAGCCTGCTCTGAATCCATTTTTATCGTTCTAAAACGCCAGACAATTCTTGAAAATATTCTTAAGTGAAGTAAAGTTATACTATCACGTCAATATCCTATCTCAATAAATCCCAAATATAGTGGTAAGCCCAGCGTCCCCAATGAATCCCCAGTGGTAAACTTTTAATGCATTCTTTCATAGTTTCTCCATCGAGGATAATACAATCGGAACTGCGATACATCGCCTCAATTTGCACCAACAAATGTTCGGAATCTGTGAAATGTAACGGCGGTCTCTCTTGTTGATTACACAAATCGTCACCAAAAAAAAAGCATCGAGAACGCGAGAGCTGTGAATAGACTATGAAGGCGTGACGAACATTCCGCAAACACTTTGATTGGTTTCCCATCTAAATCAACATTGCCGGCTCAACTTCCGTTTCCTATCATCTGCGGGTCATGCAAATGTCCGTCCGAGAATCGAACCGAGACCCGAGGTTTTATGTCGTAACAACTGCACCGACCAAGCACATAATTAATTACACTAAATTACGCCCGAGCGAAAAAAACAGTTGCCTCTTAAGATATTCCTTTTAAAAACAATGTTCGAAATATTCCACGGTGGCCTTGCTCCGAACATTTGCGTTTCTCACCTTGAGTGACAGTACCTACCACCTTTCTCAAAGAAGTTTTGCTTTCTTAAATTTTTGTTTGACAATTCGTGTACAGTTGCATACAAGTGGCAGAAATTATTTTAAGGCTTATCATAAATATTATCATAATTATACTTGACGTTTTTTTTTGTAAATTTATTTATATATTTGTAATTTATCAGACGATTTAGACTCGTTGACCGTCGCAGTCGCGTCAAATGAAATCCGTTCATTCATGCAAATTAAAATAAGCATCACATTAACTCGTTGACAAATTTAACTAGTTGATGTAGTTAACGGTGTGTACGAAAAAACCTTCAACGACCCATCAATAGCCTTCGTCGCTTACTCGCTTGAATGGAATTTAACGCGTCGAACATAGCCGATCATAGCGCAAGAACTCCCGAATACAGTTCTGGTTTCGGCAGGTTCGCCGCCGAAACCGAAATTAAACCGAAACTGCTTTTTTTTTTGCCGAAACTCGACCGAAACAGAAACCGAACTTTCGGTCGGACACTAATAATTTGTGCTTATGGTATTAGTGATTATCATTCAGTCACTTTTTCCACATACCGTAATATCTCATTACACCATAGATCGGTAGAGTCCATTGTCAATCGGGCATTAAGCGTTTTGTGTCAATTTCGGAGATGCGATAAAGATTAAAATAATACCAGGGTACCAGGAATGGAGGGGTGCGTCCCTGCGCAGAATTTCACCTAACTTAATATCTCACCACACCATAGGTTGGTAGACATGCCATCTCTACCAGTCGTTAAGCGTTTTGCGTCCATTTCGTAACCGCGCTAAACAGGGCCGGATTTAGGGGACAACCGGGGCTTCGGCCCCGGGACCCCACAATAGGGTTCGGGAAAAAAAAATCAAATTCTGACTAGTAAAAACTAATAAACACTTTCCATTTAATATTTTTTTTTCGCGTATTACCTTTACCTACTTTGTACGATAACGATTACATTAAATATTAACTGTAATTAATGGAAATTTTTGGGGCCAAGGGGCCTCCACTCCTTTGTTGCCCAGAGGCATCCACACCTCTAAATCCAGCCCTGGCGCTAAAGACTAAACCAATACCAGGGCACAAGGGCTACATGCAGCGTCAACCTCGCAAAAGTAAGAAATGCACACGGAATTTTTACCTAGATTACCAACCCAGCATTTGGCCGCCTCGAAGTCGGGCGTGTGCACGACGAACTCGCGCCGCCGAGGGTCGTACGTGGCGGTGGTACGCATCAGGCGCGCGTCGGAGCCGTGCGCAATCTCCGTGAGCGCGAAGCTGGCCAGCATCTGGGCGGAAGCGGGGGCCGAGGTCAGAAGGTCAATCCACGTCGGCATCCGCAGGTCCGTATGTGGACCGGTGCAAAGCGGGATCGGAAAGATAGACGGACCTCCGGAAGCTACAAATTGAACTCAATTCAATTCATCGATATGTAAAGGCGAATGTTTGTTTGTTTGTTTGTACCTTGTTGTATAACTGCGGTTATGTAGTCTTCAGAAATCCTCGAAACGTGTATTTAATTGAAATATTTATTTATATGCATATTTTTTGATCAATATGAAGTTAGTGTCTAAAATGCGAACCGGAATATCTGTGTTTATTTGAACATTAAATTGAATAAATAAACAATACACATAGTCACAATATGACTCATTAGTAATATTATAACTAGAGTCTGATAACACCTACCGATCGAGCCGAGGTCCGGCCCTCTCAGACAACCTCGAATCAGAAATGCTAAACGCGTATTGAGTTACAGCCCCAGGCTGAGGTCTCGGGGACCCTTGAGCCCAGTCACTGCATGGAGCTCGGCGGCCTCCCAAGCCGGTAATGATAATAATAGCGTGACGGCCAGAGCCGAGGCTCCCTCGGGAGCCCATGAGCTGAGTCACCATAACGTGTAAGAATACACGGAGGTTCAGGCTAGACGCCCCGAGCGCCCTACATATTTATAAGGATCTTCCATTCGTCATCAAATGTCAATATTCCCGACACTATAGACGTCAGCACATTAGAATCCAATTGTTTTCCTTCGACGGCTGTTTTCCTGTTCAAACCCCAAGGATAGACAACCTCACACCCGTTCCCTTCCTCGACATTTGCCTTATTATGCCAGTTTAGCAGCCACGGGACCACTTGAATAACATGTTTACGGGAAAACGGAGACACGACAAAACGAAAAGATACCATAAACACCTCTTATTCACCACGTGGAAAACGCGGATGACAAAATGAATTTATCCTTAACGGGTCATACTGTAAGCGTATGACCAGTCAAGGAAAATATAAATAAATAGAGGTAGGTAATACAAATACACATCGTTAATACTATTCTGAAAAACGAAAATCGACCTTTTTTTACCTGTAAATAGTTAATAATACAAGCTAAAGACGGTTTCTGACCGCTCGGAGACATTAACAGACGAAAGGATAAACTTTTTTAATGATATTAATTTTTACAGTGTTATTGGCTACACTTTGATGAAAATATAAAACTTGATGTAAAATTAAAGAAAATTCTTTCCCCGCTGCGAGTCTGAACTTGCGTTCTCCGGGTACTCCAGCCACTCAGCTGAACGGCATATCTTTCCAGCGAAAAACTCAATGTATTAATCTACTTTGTTTTTATTGAATTCTAAGCAATGCTTCGCTTTTCGTAGTTTTTGCAAGTAGAGGACTAGAGTTCTGCTGCATAACTTTGTTGTAACGCCTGTTCGAAAACTAATTATTAGTTTTATCATTATTTTTAATGCTAGGGCGTTCGCGGTCACTTGAAACTACGACCGACTGCCACACAACAGAAACAATAATGAAATCGGATAATTTACGAAATATATCTCGTTCAATAATTAGGTAAATATGGGAAATCGTAACTGATTTTGTAAGCATTTTATGAATTAAATCTCCGTTATACACAGGAAATCCTCGAAAGGTTTTTTTAAAAAAGTTAATTATATTAAATTACTAGCTGCTGCCCGCGCCTGCGTCTGCGTAGAGGGGTTTTCCACCCATTTAGGGTTGTATTTTTTTATGCTGTATCATAAAAAAATAAAAACAAAAAATATTATATAAAAAAAAAATTAGGGGTGGACCACCCTTAACATTTAGGGGGATGAAAAATAGATGCTGTCCGATTCTCCACCCTGGCCGACATGCACACAAAATCGGTCGAGACATTTCGGAGGAGTTCAATTACAAACACCGTGACACGAGAATTTTATATATTAGACTAGGGCAGTGTTAAATATGGAACGCTTTTATCGTTTCTTTAATTTTACAGCAGTACGGTGGAAATTCCGCCAAGTTATTTGTTAAAACTTCTTGAACTACCGGTGGTGTATTTTCATCATACCAGACTATACACGCATACAATAGTAATTAATAACAGAATAACAATATAAGGCTCGCCTTGACATTTTTGCACTAATGAAGAAGAGAATAACAACTTTTATGCGCCGACCATAACTGTCACTGTGTAAAAAATGTGTGTTTAATTCATCTTTAATTAGTTATTTCAAATCGCAGTTTCAATAACACAGCTATTACTATATTATTTGAATAATAACATAATATTTATGTTACATACTGAGCTATCACGGCTGTAATAACTCAGTGTCCGAGAGCTCGCCTTTAATTCAATGTATCATATAACGTGGTTGTACTTGAAATAAATAAATAAATGTATCCAACAAGCTGAATTCGATCCCCGTGGTAAAGGAATACGTCGTAAGGAAACCTGCATATTTTCAAAGAAATAACAAAAAAAAATTTTCGAAGATTTATGTACTTTACCACTTTCCCCCCACAAAGATATAGAGTTGTGTCAAGTGTGAAACAATTCTTGGCCTTGTTGGATTCGAACCCACAACATTGCCGCACAATTACCGTGGATGATTGTCAATTAAACCTACAGCTGTCAAATCTCTCTGCAAACTGTCCTCAGCAATTCGAATGTGCGGAAATGTATTATGTGCGTGAAAATGTTTTCGAACATGTTTTACATTTAACAAAATATACTATCAAAGCTATTGCAGCTTTTATAGTATAAAGATGCATGCTAAATAAAACAAAGGCGCATATCTTGTACAATAGGAAACACTTTTCAGGCAAATCGACTTTTTGTGTAACTGCGATCGGTAGAATTATAAATTTATTCGACTTAAGTGAAGTTTTTTTTTTATATCGGCGCGAATTAGGAAATACTTTTTACCGCCCACAGAAGATATTTATTATGCGAACTTTTAAACTTAGCCAACTCCGAAAGCAATCGCGATGAGGTAAATTCAAATCTGAAATCCCCACGGTGCCAATGTCACTGATGCGAAGATATACTTAAAAATATACTAAGATGTACTGTCTTGTTGCTCTGTGTGTAGTGTTATCTAACGGTATGGTTGTATTGTAAATTGTGTTCGTGCTTCGACGTCGGAGGTCTTGGGTTCGAATCCCACACGAGACGACTATTTGCATGACCCACATATAATTTTCGGATCTGGGTGTTTGTCCATGTGAAATGTTTGTGTGTAAAACAGTAATGTTATTCTACATTAATGGGGCAATGTTTTCGAGGGAAGACTACAGTACAACATACTCGGACTTACTGGACTCGTTGGGACTTGCTACCCAAACACATCCACAGAAAGCAAATTAAAAAAAAAAGTATAATGTGCAACATACCTCCCTGTTCAAGATGGTGGCTTCGTAGAACTTGTGATGACGCTCGGTGCCGAGGGATAGCAAAGCGTTGGAGAACAGATAGATGCCGATCGCCATTTTGACCGACACGCTGGGATTTAGCGATTGCACCGCCTCGTTAATGGTCATAATAGCGCGCGTCTATCGACAAATGCAAATTAAATTAACCGCCCACCATATTTATTCAATAAATATACTTAATATTGATGTAAAATGTACATAACTATATACATGCTCCTTTCTTGAGTTAAAATTAAATTACAAAATTATATCCCTTAAAAGTCTTTTGATACATAATAAGTTTTCATAACAAGTTGTCATGAAGAAACTTTTGAATACCTATAAATGAATATTCTCAAAATGGATATATCCCATTATTCATGGTCTTTCCTTAGCTCCAGAAAAGAAGCACCAAAAACATCAGGTTGAAAAGGATAAATATTTTAGTTCAAAAGGTAAAACTTGCAGTGCAAAGTTATGCTACAATGACCGATAACATATTTTACATAAAAAACCAGTTGAATTAAAACAATAGAAACATATTTGATTAGAAATTCTAAGCATTAGCACTATCGTATTTTTTGTTATTAAAAAAATATCATGAATGTCAAGAATAGTCAATTAAAAACCTATTACCTCTATTAAATCATACATATTGATTGAAAGTGATTGAAGTATTATCATAATTTTTTCTTCTTCTGTTATGTATTTCATCATATCCTTTTAATTAAACAATACATTTACAAACAATTAATAATTGTAATGCTTTGTGTTTTTTGCATCATTACTTATACATTCACGGAGAAAAAAATATGAGACAGAAAACAATAAAAGTCATTCAAGCTAATTAAACATATTAATTTTTATAATACTATTCTCTGCACTTAATATCACTGAGCTAGCCGGAATATTTTCACTACTTTGTTTTTATAATAACAAACTTAACATGCAATAACAAAATGGGTCATCATCATCATCAGCGGCAAGACATCCACTGTTGAACATAAGCCTCCCCGTTAGAACGCCACAACAAACGACACTTTGCCATTTGCATCCAAATAACAAAGTGGATAAATATGTGTAGTGTGCTTCCAACTAATTAAATAGGATCTAAATAACAAATAACCAAAATGGATAAATATGTGTAGGGTGCTTCAAGCTAATTAAAAAGGAGCGTATGAATAAAAAAATCTTACCCTTTTACTATAGCTTGACTTAAACATTTCTTTGGTGACAAACTTGTACTCATTGATCTTTTTTAATTGTAGCTGTGTCAACCTCTTCTGCTCCTCCACTGAAGGTGTGACTTGGTTGTGGGCGAAC